TTCGAAAGTCGCTTAGGGTAACTGTAGAGGAGCCTTTGGCTCAGTAACCAGGTGGGAACTCGGTATTTCAAATAACTGGCAGATGAACTGAGACCATGAAGTTCTCAGTGAATTTTGCAAAGCAGCTAGGAGACATCATACTGTTTCAGGCAGTTCAGTGTTACAGGAATTTCAGTGCTTCGGACAGCTTCGGTGTCTCGAGCGATAATGGTGTTATAGGATGTCATGAACGGACGAAGCGACTGGTTGATTGGGAAGTGATGAGTCACTTACAGTGGGATTAAATAATCTCAGAGTAGTTGATTTAACCCTGTTGCACAGCTCTCGTATGAGTCTAACTGTTGCAGGGATGAATCTTCTACTCTAAGGATTATCTGAGCCTTCTGTCAAGTATAAGAATTATGCAGCAAGGTTATGGTTAAGGACATTGTTTTCGAAGGTTGCATCAAAGTCATCAGGGTTGGAAGTTTTGTGGTTGACCAGTTGTTCGATGAGGTTTGAGCATGGTAACATTGCAGTGTAGGTGGTCGGTCAGGGAGGCGGACCATTATGGAATTCAGACTTTGGGGAGGCAGAAGTGGTTTGCGGAAGCTAGGAGTTCGTTTCTTCGGGATAGAAGTTCGGTACGATTTCGGTTGACTTGAGAAGGTTGTTCTATGTGCAGGATCATCGGTTGCGTTCCACAAATCAGTAGTTTTGGATATGAGTATTGGTAAGGAGCGATTTCGAGGACGAAATCTAATTTAAGTGGGGGGAGTTGTAACACCCGGTTCTGGATTGCTTCGTTGTTGGGGGCTGCGGGCCAGTCATCAGCACTCAAGAGGCTTAAGGCTTCGGGAAAGGAAGGATTTAGCCCATTTCGGATATAGTTGCCACGGTATAAGTGGTCCAAGTATTTGATCGTGTTTTCGGAAGCCAAGGGTGTAATCGTAATTTGACCTCCCGGCCTTTTATGGATTTTGGATTTTAGTTCGGTTGGCTTTCAGGCTAAATAAAGTTGATAGAAGCATAGGGCTTCTCGTTAGCTTTCCGTGGATATAAAGAACGTCAAAATTGGACTTATAACGAAGAAGTTATGGCCTTCGGAAGTTTCGTGGTTTTCAGGCTTAGCCGAGTACGTAGGGCGTACACAAAGCGTACGCGGGGCGTACTAGTGAAGAAGGCAGTACGCGGGGCGTACCTTGGAATACGATGGGCGTACTGACCAGGATGGTCGCGAATGTTCTTAGGAGTACGTTGGGCGTACGCCAATCAGATCAGAACCCTATTTTAGGGTCTTGGACCCTATTTAAGCTCCTTATCTCATAACCTAACCCTAATATCTTCAGGCTCCATCCCTCTAAACCCTATAAATCGACCCATAGCCCCCATTTGAGTGATTGTAGATTTTCAAAGTGATTTTTGTGTGTTTTGGTGCTTGAGGAGGAAAAAGGAACTTCTTGAAGAGTCATTGTTTGACTTGGAGCTTTTGGATCCAAGCTTTGTGCACCTAGATCTATCTTCTAGAGGTATAAAGTCTTAACCTTGACAACTTCTTCATGTAGATCTAGCTAAGTGGTACATTTGTTATGGTTTTGGTCCCTTGAAGTGGTTCTTGTGAGTAGAAGTTACTCCAGAACCTTTGAGCTTCATATTTGGCCCTTATTGAGGTTATGGAGTCATAAAGTTTGGATCTTGATGGGTATAAACCTTTCATGCATGATTTGGTAGTCATTTGATGAATTTTGGGACTTAGGGTTTTGATTTGGGCCCCATTGAGTTATACAAAGTCATAAAGTTGGAAACTTTATGACTTAAGAAGTCCCTTGAAATCAGATCTGGAAGTTTGCACTGAGGTCTTAAGGTATTAAGAGGTTTTAAGACATTTTGGGAGTGATTTTTGACCTTTTTGGAATTCATATTTGGTGTTTGGGCTTCATTAAGCCATGCAAAGGCTTAAAGCATTCGACTTTATGGATCAAGTCACTTATATTTGGCTATTCTGAGATGTTGGACGTCTTGACTTAATGGATTAAGAGCTAGAATTGAAAGTTGGTCATCAGGAGGAGTATGCTGGGCGTACAAGCCTGTACGTGCATCATACAAGCTCTTAAGCCAGTACGCTTAACGTACAAGCTGAGTACGCCCCGCGTACTCAGCAGAGTGGGATTTCGGGTTTTGGGCTTCAGCTTGGGTCATCTGTTTGGGCCTTGATGCTTGGGCCCTAATGGACTATCTGAGTAGTTGAATTCTGGACTAATTGGAGAATTAGACCTTAGGATAAGGCACATGAAAGGGTTTGGGCCCAATTTGGAAAATTGGGCCATTAGTGGGCTTTTTATGGATTTTGGAGTTTTGGTTTGATTAGTTTTGGGCTTGGTCCTTAGTTATGTATCTTGTTGGGCCAGGGGTAAAATGGTCATTTTACCCCAAGTATGGATTATGGATCATGGTATAGAACCCAATTGCTAATTGGGCGATATTTTGGTATTAATAGCTCGAGGAGTTGCCAGGACAACAACTAAGGATTTCTTGCAGTGGACTTCAGCAGCATGAGGTGAGTTACCTTCCAGTAGAAGTGGGTATAAGGCCACAATGTCGGCCCACTAGTAGGAGTTCGTAGTTAGATAATGGTCTGTGTGATAGTTATTTGGTATGCCACTATCTGTTATGTTATATGTGCCAGTATGCTATGATTTTATGTGGTAGTGGTAGGGGTGAAATAGTCCCTGGTATCCGGTTGAAATAGATCGAAGGGGAGGCCAGCACCCATATATGCTAGGCAACAATCCGGTTGAAATAGACCGAAGGGGAGGCCGGCACCCATATATGCTTGGCAATGTATATGTTGTGTGGTATGTGGTATGATGGGGGAACTCACTAAGCTTCGTGCTTACGGTTTTCAATTTTGGTTTCAGGTACTTTCTTTTCAAAGGAAAGGAGCCGACGATCGCAGCGCATCACACTATGATTTTCCGCACATGAGATCTTTGGGATTACACTCTGATATTATTTTATGATAACATGTTTTGATTACTGAAACTTTGGTCTTGACATGTGATCTTATTATGAATGTTTTTATACTGTTGGTTTTATAATAACTTAATTAAAAACGAAATTTTTGGTCTTGAATTTTGGGATGTTACGGTATGTTCCAGAGGCCATTCTGGAACACAATTCTCGATTAACATATGTATGTTCCGGAGGACATTTCGAAAAAGAATTATGGGTTGACATTTCGAATGAACATTCTGAAATACCATTCCAGATCAGTTCTACGTATTCCGGACATGTTCTACATATTCTGGACATGATCTTTGTATTTCGAAGTCATTCCGGACTTTTTAGAACTATGATTTTTTTAAGATTTGTTGCTCTAGTGCACACATATACCCACATGTAATAATACAATAAAAACAAATAATACTTATGTAATCGCATCAAAGCACACAAAATAAGCAAAAATATATCTACTTTTTAACATATAATATTAAATAAAGACATAATTCTAAAGAGAATCGAAACGTACATATAAAAAATGAATCTCTTTATTTCTAGAAGAAAGCATTCTTTCAGTTGGATTTGTGTCCGGAATGAAGCTGAAATAGTTCGAAATATTATTTATAGGAGGGATCATAATTACCCGGTCGGATCTCTATACCATTTACTCATTACGAAATACGGATACGAAATGGATCATTCCGGACTGAATTGTTATTTTTCAAATAAATTTCTTTTATATTAATTTTTTTAAAATACTATTAAAAAGTTGTTAGATTCCTAATTTCCTTAATATAAACTAGGAAAAGGTCCGTGCGTTGCACGGGTGAAAGTTTAGTGGCAAAAATATAAAAAAGTAAAAATAAAGTGTCAAAATTATAAAGAGGAAAACTTTGTTGAAACTTTAGTGGCAAAATTAGTAAAAATAAAGTACAAAAACTATAAAGAGAAAAAGTTTGTTGAAACTTTAGTGGCAAAATTATAAAAAAGTAAAAATAAAGTGGTAAAATTATAAAAGAATAAAGAAAAAGGATTTTAAAGAAGTAAAAGTGAATGTTTAGTGACAAAAATATGAAAAAGTAAAAATAAAGGGGCAAAATTATAAAAATGAAAAGTTTATTGAAACTTTAGTGGCAAAATTAAGAAAAAGTAAAAATATAGTGTTAAAATTATAAACATGGAAAGTTTCTGTTCAAACTTCCCATGTGTTTTAATATATATATATATATATATATATATATATATATATCTATATATATATATATATATATATATATATATAATGTGTTTGTTAATGATATTAAGTTGACCCAGTTTTGCTCATTTATCTCAACAGTCAACAGATGAGTGATGACATCATGGTCTTACATAGAAGAACTGTAATGGGTATTTTACCCGACCCGACCTGAACAAATAAATAGAAGAACTGTAATGGGTATTTTACCCGACCCGACCTGAACAAATAAATACGGCTGGCGTTTAAGATACAAGAGAATGAACCAATAAAACAGTTTGCTTCCAAAGGTGTCTAGGCTGCCTACACATTAGTCATGTACTATTTTCTCTAATTCTTATCCTTACTTGCCACCTCATCTTTCCTTCTCCTGCCACGTGTATGATGAATCAGATATTTATCAATATTCTATTTCTACTACAAAGCCAATAATTGCTGCGGTAGGCTTACATTATATAACAAAAATACCATTTTACGGTTTTCCCAAATAAAGTCATTTTTCTTCTTTTATTTTCTCGTTTTTTTAGTTTTTCTTTTTATCATGTTAACGAACCTTTATATGTCAAGCATTCGTGAAAGTTTTCTCGGGCAAACGGCAAAAAGCTTATTATGGTGAAAAGATAAATCGTACTCATCTTCTTGAAGTACCTAATATACTTTTGTTTTTGCTTAAATTTTTGCTATAAAGAAAAGATAAACGACGCCGTATGATGAAAGAAAAAGTGGGGAAAAGAAGATAATAATCGGATAAATAAATAAATAAATAAAATGACAAGGCAGTGGATTGATTACTGGGACAAAATTCACATCTTTGTAACTTTGTGAACTGAAGGATGGTGATTCATTCAACATCATCATAAAGCAAGAAGATTCAATCCACCTTCTTAATTTCGCAGTCAGATCTTACCACCCGCGCCAACTTTCCCATCAATCTCTGGTGAGAATTGAGATACTTTACTTTCAGTTTCTTCCTTCTCTCTCATCTTCGCATGTTTTCAATACTCTTCTTAAATCTTAATCACTCACTCTTTGTGTATGTGTCGCTATTGCTATTAAAGATGACAGAACTCCATCTCCATGGTGGATTAGTAATTACTCATGTGTTAAATTATTAGTTATTTCAAAGATGTTTGTGTAATTAGCTTTTGCGAGTCTTTCTGTATTATTTGGTTGTAGAAATCGGATCTTTCTTTGTTGTTCTTGTTTCTGGTTCAAATTTTCATTCTGTTGACCGGAATATCAAATCCTTTGTTCATTTGGGTTTATCATTTTGAGTGCCTTGATTTAGGTTTCGCGAATTTCCGTCTGAGATGAAATCCAATTTCTAGAAAAATATCATAAAAATCTGCAAGGTTTGACTGAAATCGCTGATCAATTAAGTCGAGCATAGGAGTAAGGGCTTAATATTGCTATTCACTTGCTTGCTTACGGTTTTGGTAACTGCTCCCAAACATAAATAAAATATAAAATATGTGTATTTGTTCTGTCTTGTGTTTGATTGTTGCCAGGTATAGAAATAGTATGCAGTATGCAGTGTCATCTAATGAAATGGTGAAACTATATGTATATATATGTGTGTATATAGGTGTATTACTGAAGCAATTAATGGAATAAGTGAGTAATGGCTGCAGCTGAAGCAAGAGCAGCATGGCAGCGAACTGCAAACCGTTGTTTTGTCCAAGAAGATGCAAAAAGAGCTCCCAAATTAGCATGCGTCCCTCCAGCAGCATCCTCGTCTTCATTGTTTAAACAAGCCGACACTACTAGACCTACTACAAATGGGAATGGGAATGGGAATGGGGTGGACGATTTAGCCCCTCCCACTGCCAACTCCATGTACTCAAATCTCTCTTCAGACTCAAGGTGGTGGCTTCATTTGCAGCCTAACCCTAGTAACTATATGTACCAAAAGGAACAGGTCAGCAGCAGCACATTGGAATTTGTCGACATTATGGATTCTCAATCAAGTGTGAAGGGTTGTAGTTGTAATTTAGGGGAAGAGTCTTATGAGTTTGTGGAGATGGATTCTGGTTCTAAACAAGTGGATGAGTTCAGTTTGGGGTCTGAATTCCCTCACTGGATGGAAAGGGAGAATGAGGAGCTGCCATTGCCATGGTGGCACAAAGATGACCTGGCATCCTTTGTGGCACAGAGATCACAAGATTTCATGGAGAATTGTGATCTTCCTCAGCCTCAAAGTCAAAACACAAGTTTCACCTGTTTTGGACTTTCAAAGCCACAAAATTCAGCAAGCGTCCATGGTATTGCTGTCAGGTATATACTTTGACCATTATTTATTTTATTATTTTTTTTTCAAATCTGTAACTCATTTTCTTGATTTATTCTTATCTGGTCAGCCCTTTAAGTACTACTACTACAGTAGTGGTTGATGAAGGAGGTGAGATGGATCCAAGCAAGCGTAAGCTGTTAGAAGCACTCTGTCATTCTCAAACACGAGCAAGGGAAGCAGAAAAAGCAGCAAAACAGGCTTACGAGGAGAAACAACATGTTGTGAAGCTCATATTCAAACAAGCTTCTCAGTTATTCGCATATAAGCAATGGCTCTATCTTCTACAACTTGAGAATCTTTATAACCAAATCAAAGCAAACAAGATCCCATCAGATTCTCCATGGAACGTGCCTCCTCGAAAGAAACCTGCCAAGAGGAAAACACCCAAACCAGGTTACAAAGATGATGATGATGATGATGATATAATCGGTAAGTATGCTGTGGCTTTTGCTGTTGGATTAGGGCTTGTTGGTGCAGGTTTGCTTCTTGGGTGGACTGTTGGTTGGATGTTTATCATTTAGTATGTTTCAAGCAATTGTAAGACCTAGTGTACAAAACTTGTTTTCTTCCAATTCTTAGCTACCAGACTGCAGTATATAAATATAGTTTTTGTAACGAGTTTGCAGTTAAACTCTTGTGTTCATCATGTGTCACAATCTCATATATGGATAATCGTATTAGTAACTTCCAATCAATTAGTCTCTATTTGCCAAGTCATGTACATATATAAAGATCTCCCCATCTTCTCATGTAGCCATATTGGAACAATGTAAATCTTTGTTTAGTTTTTTATTTGGTTGATTGTTTACGGTATTAGTTTGAATATTGTATTTGTATGTTGGTGTCTTGGTTGGCAATTATTTTTTGATTTAGTTTAGTTTCTGCAAATGTTTGTTTCGGGGTTGTGAACAGTTATGGTATAAAATCCCAACAAGTGATATTAGATTCACTGTTTTAGATCTGATCAAACAAGTGCTATCCTTTAAGATGAATATGCATCAGATTTTTCGAAAATGTCATCTTAGGAAGTCAATCCAACCATCACATATTTTTCTGTTTTTTTTTTCTCTTTTAAGAATTTAACTTGTTTTAGTATCTTTGTTACGGTCGTTATTCGTTGTGGATTGAACTCATTTGAAGTTTCAAGCCATTACCATTTTTGTGGATGCATATATTATAGATAGTGTTTACATTTGACCCTCTTCGGATGATTCATAGTATTCAAAAGGTACTTTGTATTATCAGAGGTGTTCGTTTATGGAGATAGCGGAGATCTCGAGACTGCATCACTCGTCCATTGAAGGGAGTTGTTTGAAGTTCGGGCATTTGCTCATTCAGTCCTTCCACTTTTCAATTTGCCCCGGTGATTGTCTCTCCGCCTATCCAATCTACCAAAGTTCGTTTGATACGTGCGTTTTCTTGTGAGTAGATAAAGGAGAATTTTATATACTATGGTATAAGACCATTTCGGCACGAGTGGTTGGCATTGTTACATGTATATAGGTTATGCAAGCAATCAAATAAAAGCAATAAAACGACATAATTAACATGGTTCGGTCAACGCGACATACCGGCAGGAACCGTAGCTCTTCCATTATTCAACTATTTTCAAAGTGATTACATTGGAATCTCTAGCTATGAATACTTACAGCTGTAAACCCTAGCAACTAGAAACTATAGGTTGATCGCATATACAAGTAAAGCTATGTATGTGACTTGGATTTTATACCAATATTTACCCTTCGAAATCGTCATTCGGGTTTCTTCACTTTGTTATGGTTTGTTGTTTATTCTTTATTATGGTCATTAAAATCCAAGTCACACTTTAAGGTTGGAGGGAGTGGCTCGCTAGCCAAGCTCACCCCAGCTCGCTAGCCTCGTCTCCTCCACTCCCATTAAAGTCGTTAGGTCCCTCGCCAAAGATGGCTCGTTGGCGGGCAACGAGAGGAAAGAGAAAGAGAAAGAGTAAAGGAAAGGAAGGGCAACATTGGTTGGCTTCATTTTCTTTTCTTTTTTTTTCAAAATAAAAATAACTTAACAACCTTATGCTACCACTCCTTACCTAGATGCTACAAGATGCTACAATTCTATACATCATATGTGGCTTTAAAAAATCATATGTGGCTTCAAAAAATCATATGTGGTAGCATGTTAAAGATGCTACCACTCCCTCCAGCCTAACAGTATCATTTAAGATGAATATGTAATGCTAAAAACTATATTTGATGTACTTACAAGGAACTTGAGTTTAGAGGTTCATAGCGTACTTTTGGATTTCATGTCACCATGTCTTGTCTATTTCGATCAAGAGACCTTCATCAATAAACCTAGGTTGTGTTTAACCTCTATGTGATGAACGCTAAGTGGCATATGGGGTTGTTTTATTTGTAATTATGGTAGAACTTGATGGTATTTATTTGCAATAAAATTTTGTTGTGTTGGAAGTCACTTTACTTTATGACAAGAGTATGATCATTCTTTTAAATTCTCATCTTTGGATATTTTGTTTGGCTCATATGTGTGTGATGACCATGTTGAAGCTCATTTTCATAAATCTCAATTCAGTCTTATGAAGCATTATAATATTTGGATCCAAAATCAATTTGTTGAAGATCAGAACACGATGTATCCTTATGAAAGCGAAGCGTTGAGGAATGGTTATTTTTGAATTATGACTTCAACAGATTAATGAAATAACCTTAAGGACCAACACGTTTGTATGAGGATTGGTTTGTTGCCTTTTGTGGACAACTCATCCTACCATGTCTGTTTTTACCTTTGATTCGTGTTATAGATGGTGAACAAAAGCAACTAGAACAACCAAGACCATGAATGTTTGGATGGAAACCCTTGCGAGAAAAACCACAAGGCATTCATATTGTATTATAACTACAACCAAGAACATGTATTGTTGGACACTTGAACTGATTTTGACATTATATTAATGACACTTAGAAGAGACTTGTTTTGAGATGCCCCACAAATTTGAGTAAACATAATGAAAGGTTGGTAGTGTGAACCAAAGTGTTTATTTTCACCCTCTTGTGCTTGCCAAATCGATAGTATCTAATCTTTTCGGTATTTTTATAATAAGGGATATGGATTTTGAAATTTCATAAGTGGAAGGGATGGCTAAAGTTGTCAATTTTTAAAATTTAACAGGGAAGAGAATATCAAAATGATGGGTATAGCAGAACCTACAATAGTAGTGCCTCAAAGATAATAGTGAACATTTAATTTTCTTAGGTCTCGTTTGATAGTTTCTTACTGAGAAAGTGTTGACTAGGAAAGGTATGTCTGGGTAATAAATTTTGCCTGAGTAAGAAACCATGTTGTTTGATTGTATATCTGATTGAATGTGTGACTGAATGTGTTGACCAATGAAAAAGTACCATTTTACCCTGTTGGTCTATATAGTGATGGATGAAGTTGTTGAATAATTATAAAAACATACAAATTGTATACAAAATGTAAATTACACACAAGTTAATTAAAAATCCAAATAAAAATTATTTGAATAAATAGGCCATGATCGAATTTTATAAGTTATCATATCAAAATTTTATAAATGGGATCTCATTTTGCTTCACTGATCTCGATCCCAACTCCTTCCTTTCTCTTTTTTTTCTTTTTCTTCCTCCTTGTTGTCAAGAACACACCACCAGTTGTGGTTGTTTTCTTTTTCTGACGAGATCAAAGAGGCAACAGCCTCTTGCCCCACATCGATAGATATGTCGTCACCGTACCAAGCTCCACCACCACTGCCTTCGATTTCCTTCCTTCTTGTCTCGATCAAACACCATAGAACCACCCCCACCTGCTGTGCCCAATCTGCTCCACCCTTCCTTCCCCTTTCGTTTTTCTTTTTGCTAATCCTACACTGGACCACCTCGTTTGTTGCCATTGTTCATGTTTGTTTTCCCTTTATAGGAATTAAATTGATGAAAAACATACCTTCTACCAACGGGAATAGAGAAGGAGGTGGAGTCGGTGGCTGTGAGGAAGGAGGATGCGGGTGGCTGTAACGTCCTGTTTCGAATCGTTTCCCATTTTGGGGTGGTGATCAGGGATTGGGTATTAGCAGGCTGTGGACCCTTGAAGAATTAAAATCATGGCTCATTTGGAGGTGGATGATGTATTGGGATGATCTGGGTATTCGGTTTGTGTTTTGGAGTCAAATGGTATTTTGGTAATATGTCAGCTCGGGCTTTTATGGAAAGTGGATGTTTGATCGGGAAATGGCATAGAAAGTATGAGTTGATTAAAGCGTAGAGCTTCTCGCTACCTTTTCATGGCAATATGGATCGTCGGAATCGAATTTATAACGAAGAAGTTATGACTTTCGGAGTGTTTAAGGGTTTAAGAGGAAACCCTAGTACGCAGGGCGTACCTAGGGAGTACGCGAGGCGTACTGATGCGAAGGGCATTACGTTGGGCATAATGTGGTGTATGCTTAGCGTACTGCGAGGGTTGGATCGGGGATGCGAGACCTCGTGTGCTGGGCGTACGAGGGGATAAGTGAAAACCCTAATTTTGATGTTGTACCCTATAGAAGCACATTAAGTCATTAGGGTTGGCCTCTTTACCAGCCTCCAAGTCCCCAAAACCCTAGAAATCGTCCATTGGCTTCCATGGTGGTGTTTTTGAGCTCATTATGTGCATATTGGTATTTTTGGTTCATATTCAAGAAGATGGAGTTTGGTGCAAGGTTGTGGATCAAGGAAGAGCTTGTGGATCTTGATCTTTTGCTTCATTTCCAGCTTGTTTGAGGTAAAAAGATTTGAACTTGTTCATTGTTGGCTTAGATCTATTTTGTATGAGTTTTGGTTCCTTTTTGGCCAGAAGAATGAGATCTAGTGGTTTGGTACCACTCTAGGAGCTATGAGTTGACACTCTTGGTATTTTTGAGGTTCTAGATGCATAAAGTTGTTTCTTTTAGGGTTTGGAATCCCCCATGTATGAGTTTGTGTCCATTTGGTGAAACCGTGAAAGTATAATTCTTTATCTTGAAGTTGGGTTCTTTTGGGGCATGCAAAGTCACCAAGTGAGTGACTTTAAGGTTCTAGACACTTATTAGTACTCAGATCTGTGGGTTGGACTTTTGGAATTAAGCATTAAGAGCTTAATGTCAATTTTTGGCTTAATGGATGAGTACGTTGGACGTACAGGTCTATACACACAGCGTATAAGCCAAATAGCGTGTACGCTTAGCGTACAGCTGAGTACGCCCCGCGTACCCAGTCAGGTGGGTTTTTGTATTTGGGCTTCGAGTTTGGGCTTCCCTTTGGGCTTGGGTGTTTGAGTTCTTAATGGGCCATCTGAGTGTAAGTGTTTTGGTCTAAAAAAATTGGTTGGGCTTTAGGTTAAGGCCCATGTAAGGAGTTTGGGCCCAATTTGGAAAATTGGGCCATATTTGGGCCTTGGTTGATTATTTGGCTTTTGGGCCTTTCAGGACGCCACCAAATTGACCCGGGCATGCGTGGAGTGCCAGAACTTTTCACCAGTACAAGGCGTACCCCCAACCAAGTTGACAAGCATAGTTAGCCCATGGCCCTTTTACCAATGGGGGATCGACATCGTCGGTCCTTTCCCAGAAGCACCAGGGAAAGTGAAGTTCTTGGTCGTGGCAGTCGATTACTTCACGAAATGGATAGAAGCCGAGCCATTGGCATGTATTAGTGGAAAACAAATGATCAAGTTCATGTGGAAAAACATCATAACAAGGTTTAGAACACCTAAGGTCTTGATCAGTGATAAC